CTTATATAGTGTTGACATATCTAGGGTTACACCATGTAAACCCTAATGTGTCATGACTCTTCATTTCCATAACCCATGGGTTTATAACTCCAATGGAGCATCCTATGGGTGGAACCCAAATTGATAATCCATGGAGTCTCTTAGCCCACTATACAAGTTATGGATGATTTACATAAACAACACATATATTTAATTAGTTATCTTTTGATCACTTAATTAATTCTAAATTAATTCTTGATCAAACTAATTAAATAATATTATTAATATATTAGAACTTATAATATATTAATAATCCACAAGTGTTATTTCTCTCATTTAGTCTATCCAATTGCATGGTGCCATTCAACCCAAATGGATCATGTCAGGCCGGGTCAAGTACATACCAGAAATACTTATGGACTTAGACACCTTATCCAACACTATGAAGCAAACTGAGAGCTTGATTACTAGAAAGTGATGAGAATAGAATGAAATCCCTAGATCTATAACCTTCTCCTTGAACCCTCAAGCCCCTTCTTCTTCTTCTAAGCTTCAAGAACACATAAACCACTCAAAATGGTTCACACACTCCCAAAATGTTGTAGGGCTTCGTGTATTAGGGTTTAGGACAAGGAGACTGTAAATGAGGCCAATGGGTGGGGATTAGGATGCTTAAATAGGGTGAAAACCCCCAAAACTAGGGTTTCACCTTGGCTGGGCTACTCGTCGAGTAGATAGCTTAAACCCCGCGCATAATCTGCCCTCTACTCGACAAGTTAGGGCCACCAACTCGTCGAGTCCTTATTTCAAATAAATAAATAATTAAATTAAATGCATACCAAGAAACCAGGCGTTACAAATCTCTTTAAATATAGCACACTATGGTCATCTGGTCTGGATGTATTGGTTGGAAGCCTGTTACATGGATTTCAAAGAAAGCCATGAGATGTATTTGTAGGAAAATATAATTTGATAGTTTGTATATATGTATGTTTATAGTTAATTGAATAATATGTTTAGGAAAAATGCTTGGTTGCCAAAAGATTCCTTTGGACTTGGATTTGAACTTATGACATTGAGATTGACTGTTAACTACTTTGACTGGTGTAAGTGGTTTGAAATTTGTAACCAATCTAGGTAAATTTTAGGGAATTTTTAGAAAATATTTTTTAGAAAAAGAATTTTGTTAATCAACAAATAACTGGAGTCGATCATTGTCATATTTTGTAAAACAAAAATGATTGAGCATATTTCGGTCACATACATTTTCACGAGAGTAAGTCCATAATTTATTCCATTAGTTGACTCGATACCAACAAGAGGAAACATGTGTTGTGATTTTTGATTCATGTTAAGTTGCAATAGAGAGCGGCCAAAGTCTTGTTTCTACTATCATATATACTTATAAAACTAACATTTTTTCTTGAATCTCCTGCATTTGAAACCCCCATATACTTTTTCCTTTCACCACATTCATTTGAAACTCTCATGAATTTTCAATTTCTTTCTAATAATAATTATAATTTGGTTAATTAGGTTAAATAATTATCAAGCCTAAAGTTTAATCATATATAAACTAAATTTCAATATTAAAATAATATATTTACTTCTACTAATAAAGTTATGTTTTTTTAACTTATAACATATTATACTTAATTTATTAGTTTTAATATATTATTGGATGTAAACCATTATCATTTTAAAGATACAGTTTTGGAATAATTTGTATAAAATACTTAACTTATTAATTCAAATATAACATTACAGGGTTAACTTAAATATAAATTTTAGTTTAACTTATACAACGCAAAGAATGTTTTGTAAATAGTTAAAAGTGGTAAATTGTAGTGTATTTCTAATAATGATTATAAGTTGGTTAATAAGTTTAAATAAATATCAAACCTAAAGTTTAATCATAATAAACTAAATTTCAATTTTAAAATAATATCTTTACTTCTACTTATAAAGTTATGTCTTTAAATTTTAACATATTATAATTAATTTATTAGATTTAATATGTTGTTATATGTAAACCATTATCAGTTTAAAGCTAGAACTTTTGAACAGTTTGGAAAAAATACTTAAATATCCATGAATACGGCAGGAGCATTTGTCAAACCGAATGGCATGACAAGGAATTCGAAATGCCCATAACGAGTACGGAAAGCAGTCTTCGGTACATCTTGCTCTTGTACTTTCAACTGATGATAGCCAGATCTCAAATCATTTTTTGTGAAATAGCTAACACCCTGAAGTTGATCGAATAAATCATTGATGCGAGGTAGTGGGTACTTATTCTTGATAGTCACTTTATTCAGCTCACGATAATCAATGCACATTCGCATAGATCCATCATTCTTCTTGACAAACAATACTGGAGCACCCCAGGGAGAGGTACTTGTTCGAATAAAGCCTTTGTCAAGTAATTCTTGCAGTTGGATCATCATTTTTTTCATCTCGGCTGGTGCAAGACGATAAGGAGTCTTTGTGATCGGAGTAGCACCGGGCACAAGGTCAATTCGGAATTCTACTTGTCTGTCCGGAGGAAGTCCAGGCAGATAATCGGGGAAAACATCAGGATATTCGTTAACAATGGGAATATCATTTACAGTTTTATTCTCCTTTCTTGAGATGTCAACTGTATAGGCCAGATAGATAGGACAACCTTTCGATATGAATTTACGAGCTTTGAGGAAAGAGATTATTTTTAAGATTCTTTGTTCACCATAGACATGAATAGGATCTTCCCTTTCAATAGGAATGCGTACCATCTTTTCGTAACACAAGAGTTCTGCATGGTTCTTTGACAACCAATCCATGCCGAGAATAATATCGAAATTGGGCAAGGAGATAGGGATTAGGTTAGCAAGAAAATTATAGCCTTCAATTTCTATGACACAATCCCTATAGATTTTATCAGCAAGTAATGATATACTTCCTACAGTATCTACGTGAAATGGTTGCGCAAGTGCATAGCAAACAGTTTGAAAAGAATGCACAAATTCATAAGATACGAAAGAATCTGAGGCACCAGAATAAAATTAGATGTGAGCAGGTCTAGAGTTGACAAGAAATGTACCCGTCACGACATTTAGGTCCTCACGTGCTTCCTCTGCGGTAATCTGGAATGCACAACCCTTAGCTTTTGGCACCTCCTCCTTTTTAGCTGGAGTATTCTTCGGTTGTTGGACAGGGACTTGACTTCTCGCTGGTTGTTGAACAGAAGCTTGACTTCCCGTCACTTGGCTGGTAAGAGTAGGGAAAAAACGCTTCTTGTGGCCAGTAATACCACATGCATAACAAGTCACATCCTTCCTTGGGCAAGCTGGCTTGATATGACCTGTTTCTCCACACCCATAATAGACAATGGATTCCTTGTCTATTTTGCATTGACCCGGATGATTCCTTCCACAAACACGATATGACGATGATTGAATAGAAAAAGATTGTGACCTACCACGGCCACGAAAAGAACTCTGAGATTGTGCTTGCTTGCTAGGATCAGTTCGAATAGATTGAGCTGGTGGAATAGTGGAAGCAGGAGTAGTTCTTTCAGTACGTGGATGCTTTGGAATAGTAAGAGTGGCACCACGTATTTCTAAGTCATGGTCACGCCTTCGAGCATACACAATGGCTTTATCGAATGACAGAACATCCCGGTTGACAACGAAATCATGGATTTCATGTCGTAGTCCCTCCATGAATAACTGATTTTTCTCGTCTTCAGTTGGAATATACTTCGTAGCAAACCTTGCTCTTTGATTAAATTGAGTTTCATACTCATTCACAGTCATTCCTCCTTGTTTAAGCTCAAGGAATTCCTTCTACAATCTTCTCCTCATTTCTAGAGGACAATACTTCTCTAGCACACGAGTCTTGAACAATTCCCAGGATAAGTTCTCCTGGTCACATCCATCGAGAGTTTCATATGTTGCTTCCCACTAGACTAAAGCTTTTCCAATGAGCATTGCATAAGCATAAATAGCCTTATCTTCATCATCCACATGAGAAACACGAAATACTTTCTCGGTGTTCTGAATCCAAGTTAGAACAATTATAGGATTAAGGACACCAGAAAAATCCGTAGCACCACTACTCTTGAAATCTTTGAACGAGGGATGCTTCACCTTTCCGCTTGAAGATTCTCCAGTGACTTTCTCTTTTCCTTTATCATCATTCTTTTTGTGTTCTTCGAGAGTTTGTCGAATAACACCGGTAAGTTTACCTAGAAGTCGCTCCTCACGAGAAGATACTGGAGTATTCACTTCCTCGGGTTGAGGATCTCCACCAACATCAGGGGTATGGCTACTTACTTGTTCAACCATTGATCTGAAATACGGAGTAAGATTGTATTTTAGAATATTAGGATTTACTATTACCTAATACTTTTACTTATATATTTCCTATGGTTTGTATCCCTATACTTACAGTGATTAAGTTCATATATTGAACTTCCTATAGTTTAAGTCTAAATACCAATCCGTGAAATTTAGTTCGCTTAAACTACTGCTCTGATACCATGGTTGAAAGACCCAAACTTTCGTATTTTTGAAAGACCCAAACTTTCATATTTCACATTATCATTACTCCAAAACATGCTATTTGCATATTCATAAAACCAATATTTTACATTTATATAAAGGATTTACAAACTATTGAATACAAACCTTCTATTACAAAGTGTTATATATATTACATAACTACCCAGGATACTGTAGTTTATACAAACATAAAATGTAACGCTCTAGTTATTTAAATAATTTAATAAATGTGAGTCCCAGACTAATGTGTGAAGAATTTTGATAGTTGGGGTTTGTTTAGTAAATTACAGAGTTTATTTGAGAAGGATTTTAGAAGTAAGGGTATGCTTGGTAATTATTACGATTTAAATTGTAAAGATTTTGAAATAATGGGGACTAATCTTGGATAAATGAATGGAAGTTTGAATGGACACGGGATATACCCGTATCCCTTCCCCCACATCACATATTCAACCCTAAGAGAATAAAATGCAGCCGCTTCTACCCATCGAATGCTTTCATCGGCCGCCAACTCCGTTTCTTCTTCTTCCATCCAAATGAGGCGTCGCCATCTGCCTTGCCGGCGAGCACCACCTCCTTGCTGTTGCCGGTGACATAAGGGAAGCTGGAAGAGCCACCGAGACCGACGACTACAGCTACGTCATTTCTGTGTGGGTTCTGCGTGACCGGGGGGTTCTTGGCTGTGAGCACTGGCGGACGCCAAGAGGGTTGGAGTTGGAGGAACCGCCACCACCAGTTACGCTATTCTTCCGATCAGTTGAGCCACCGAGTAAGCAGAGCACTATCATTGTTGTTTCACTACCGTCGGATGCGTGAGTCAAGGCCGACGTCGGGGGCCTCCGTTCCTCTACGTTCTCCAGTATTGGTAAACCTTTCCTTCTCTCTCTCGTTCTCTTTCCTTTTTCTCTCATGAGCGTCGCCATCTCTACCCGATGGCTATCGCGTTCCGATGATACCCCTTTCCGGGTCACCGTAAGCCACCTGATGTGTGGCGGTGTAGTGTGTGTGTTTTGTGTGTGTGTTCGAATCTCAGCCAATGTCGTTTTTGTGCGTGTTTCAGTGGTCGCTGAAGAGATGTGTGGGTGAAGGGTTGGTTTGAGAACGTAAGGGATCACCATGGTGGCTGTCGCCGGGAGCTGCTGCCAAACACCACTGCCACCCCAAGACCATCGCTATTACCACCGAGCGCCACCAAGTCGTGGCTGTGTTACTTTCCAAGCTTAAGGGTGGGTGTGTGTTATTTCAATGACGAATGAGTAGTTTTTTTTGTTGGCCGGATAAATCAAGAAAGCCACCACCACCACCGTGAGGTGGTGGCTGCCGCTAAACACCGCCGTCGGCCACCATGGTGTGGCTGTGTGTGTGTGTGAGTGTTAAATTAGTATGTGAATTAGTTAGTGTGTGTATGTGTGTTAGTGAGTGTGTGGATTATTTTGGATAAAGCATTGTAATTGTAAGTTCCAAAAAAAATTAATGAAAAGAAACTCAAACCACCACCGTAAGGTGGTGGCCACCGCCGTGAGCCGCCATTGACCACCACTACCCAACGTGGTAGTGGGTGGTCCCCCGCTAGCAAACCCTAATGGGCTTAGAGATTGGTTTTGGGCCTATTGGGCCATGTTTGGGTGGAAAACCCTAATTATGAGTATTTGGGCCTTGGACTTATTGGACCCACTTTTGGGCCATTGGGATTGGATTGTGAACTATGCCTAAATTATTCCATGCCATTTATCTAGTAGAGTAAAGGACTTAATGAACTAAATCCTTAATGGGCTAATTGAGAAAAATCTAATATTTGAGAAATTATCAGGATGCATACAAGAATTATTTAATAAGTGAAATATTAAATAATAATCATTGGCAGAAATTAATCTAAGCAATAATGGACTTAATGGATTAAGTCCTTAATTGATTAAGTCCATAGTGTGTTAAGTTCTTAGTGGGTTAAGTAAGAAACACTTAACCCTAGTTATCATTTGATGTGAAACCCTAATTTCTTGGGCTTTGTGTTGGGCCATCCGAGAATAATCAAATGGACTAGAGTAATTAGTTGGGCTTTAGGGTAAGGCCCATATGAAGGATTGGGCCCAATTTGGAAAATTGGGCCATAGATGGGCCATAGTTGGGGCCTAGATGGTTGTATGATATTGAGCCCTAGAATGATACATGTTGGACTGGACTGATCAATTGGGCCATATGTTGGACTTTGATCCCTAGTTGACTTTGGGCCTATGGATTGGGCCTTGGGCTTGGGTAAGCCAAGCTAGGGGTAATGTAGTAATTATCCAAAGCATGTATTTTTAGTTATGTGTTAGAACCCAATTATTAATTGGGTGTTATTTGGTGTTGACAGTTCGGGAATCTGTCAGCCAGCAGCTGGGGTGGAGTCTGCGGGACTTCAGCAGTGTGGGATTGTGTCTGCGGGACTTCAGCAGTGTGAGGTGAGTTTCCTTCCAGTAGGAACGGGTCTAAGGCCACAATGCCGGCCCGTTTAGTAGCAGTAGTTTCCGGACTTTGGTCCGATGCAGTTGTTAGTTTGTTTGATGCCTTCGTGGCTCAGACAGATTTATGTGTTAAGTGTTATGGGCTACGGCCTGACGTAGTATGCAGTATATGAGTTTATGATCATGTGTGTTATGCTATTTGATATGTGTTTTTGCTATGCTATGCTATGCCCAGTCAGTTCCGGACTTCGGTCCGATGCAGTTAGTTCCGGACTTCGGTCCGATGCAGTTAGTCCCGGACTTCGGTCCGATGCAGGGGACAAGGTCCCAGTCAGTTCCGGACTTCGGTCCGATGCAGTTAGTTCGGACTTCGGTCCGATGCAGGGGACAAGGTCCCAGTCAGTTCCGGACTTCGGTCCGATGCAGTTTCCGGGCTTCGTCCCGATGCAGTGGGCAAGGCCCAATATGTGTTTATATGTTATTGTATGGTATGTGGTAGTTTGGGGGAGCTCACTAAGCTTCGTGCTTACAGTTTCAGTTTTGGTTTCAGGTACTTAGTTTTCAAAAGAGGAGCTCAGGAAGATTGCAGTGCACACACCATTTGTTCAGCCTGGGATGTTTATACTCTGATATATTTGACAGTTGTTATAATATTTTGAGATACATTGCTTATGATTTCTATATGAGGTTTATTGACTATGGTTTTATCATTAAATTAAACGAAATTTTCAGACTGTGTTTTTGGGATGTTACAAGTTGGTATCAGAGCCTTGGTTTGAGGGATTTGGGTACACTTTCGGGTGTGTCTGAACTCAAACTAAGGAAGTGGTATAAAGTTTTCAAGAGAAAAACCATGTTTAGAAAAAGATTTTAAGAAAAGAAAACAATTTTAGAAAAGGTATAAGGAAAAGAGTTTTAGAAAAAGCGAAAAGAATTTTAAAACGAGAAAAGGGTGTGGTGCATGCAATCAGCCGAGCTCAAGTAAGTACTCCCAAATTACCCATACAAGATTATTTTATGTATATCAGTTCCAGTTTCAGTAGAACAACATGCTAGAATAGGACTAAGGATCTAGGAGGATGCCTTATGTGCCTGCTATATGTGTTTCGGCTTTATGAGAATTGCATGCTAGTATTGAGTAGACAGTAGTAGGATAGCCTTTTTAGGTTATACCTGATATTATGAGCTTAGCATTGTATGCTAGTACAGTTTCTTGTATAAGGATAGAGTTGCTTGAGTAGTCTTTTATGTCTGAATGCTGCTTGCTTTGTGCTTTGTGGGACTCAGAGTGATGGGAGTTAGCCATTAGGTGAATACGTCACATCACATGTGATCATGGTTGAATAATCTCAGAGTGCTAGATTTGGCCCTATTACGCAGCTCTTGTTAGAGTCTAACCGTTGTAGGGACGAGTCTTTTACTCGAAGGATTATCTGAGCCTCGTCACATGTGATGGTATTCGGGTGATGGCTAATTGGCATTACAAGGAGGCCTTCAGCAGCTGAGGACTGGATTTGGTTGAGTCAGATATTTCCCTAGGGCAAGCCTAGGATGAGAGTAGCAAAGATCAGTTGTAGTAGAAGTGGCTTGGTGGAGTCGAGGCAGTACTTGAGGAAAGTACGGATAGATGTGGAAGGTAGTATGGGCCCGTACTACTGAAAGCAGAGGATCCGTACTCGAATCAAGGAAGGCTGAGATAAGACCAGGGAACTTGTAGTGTGTGAGAACCCTCGAGTTTGGATGAGTATTGTGATGTTAGTGATGGCATGTTGCTGAGTATAGCGACGCTACGTGGTAGACCAAATGGTAGTTCTAGCGTCAAAGAGGGATCAGGCTCGGACTCTAGAGTTGGGCAGATTGATGATCAGATGAGGGAGTTCATTCCATCTGAGAATTACGCGCAGTATCATTGACCAGATTCCTGTGATCCTCAGTGTGATCAAGGAGGGCATTATAGAGATTGTGATGAGAGGCCGAGTGCATTATGCACTGAGATAACAATCATGATAGAGACCCATACATTGATGTTTTGGGAAATTCAGAGTTTGTGAGGCTTTAGATTGTCATGTGTGTTAGGGATCCCATTATTAGCAGCAGATGATTGGTAGATGTCACCAACGTTTTCGTACTAGACGTTGTCTCGAAAGGAGACAAGATCTGACTTACCTCCTATCTCCAGCAGGGTAGAGCACGATATTGATAGGAAGAAGTTGGTGGTGAGTTGAGTGATGATGCGGTAGAATGATAGCATGGAGATCGTGAGTATCTCGAGGTGCAAGACCCTGAATGATATAAATTCTAGAGCTTGAGTTCGGGATATGGACTTGGAGCACATTGGTAAGAGGGAACCAAATCAGTTGCTTATAGTGAGGGGTCTCGGGAGGAGATCGTAGATTTCAGATTAGCTTTCAAGAGATCAGCAGGACCAGATTCGGTGCAACACTTGCGGGAAACTACACAAGGGAGCCTTTCGTTCCAGAGGTTTGAGTAAGTGTAACCTTGAGTTATTCTCAATTTGTGTCTGAATTGTATTTTTAAGAGATGTCATATGCCAATTGCATACCGAGAAGCATTAGCGAATAGTGATAGAGCAATCCCCCAGATTGCGGGATTGGGAAGTACAACGTCATATTGGTTTATTCCAAGAGTGAGGAGCAACATGAGAAGCACCCGGGGGAGGTGCTAGAGACTTTAATGAGGGAGAAAATTTTAGCAAGGTTCTCTAATTGTGTGTTCTGGTTGCGCAGGGTGCAATTTCTTGGGCATCATGTCAATCAGAAAAATATTCTAGTCGATCCGACCAAGATAGAGGCCGTGATGCAGTGGGAGATTCCGAGGTCTCCAATTGAGGTTCGGAGCTTCCTAGGTTTAGCGGGTTACTACCGGATATTTATTCGGATTTTTTAGAAGTTGTGTGATCTTTTGGATTAGCTAGTGTTGAAACACTAGCAAAGGTAAGTGTGGTTTCTAGCAGATTGGTCATGGGTGGTGAGAAGGATTGGGAATTCTTCCAGTTTTGTGTGCTGTAGGGCAGTAGCTGAATCAAAGTGGGGGAGAATTGCCCAAGGATTCAGAAGCGGGAGCAGTTTTGAGACTAGGATAAGTTTAGCATCTTTATTGGGAAGGAAGATAGCCCAAGTGGTTGTATGGTTTGAGGATAGTATGAGATGAAAGTTCTGAAAAGCTTGCCAATAAGGAGATCGTGTTCCCATGATGTTACTAGCAAGCCTTAGGGAATCAGGTTGGGGATTCCATACAGGACATAAGTGCGGGTCAAGCGCGTATTAGATCCATCATAGATAGTGATAGAGTGTTGTAAGTCTGCGGGTGTAGCCGTAGCATTCACTAGTAGCCAGATAGTGTTAGAGTGTAGTAAGTCTGCGGGTGTAGCCGTAGCATTCGCTAGCAGTAGACAGTGATAGAGTGTTATAACTCTACGGGTGTAGCCGTAGCATTCACTAGGTTGGTAGGTAGCGTGAGTGCGTTGTTAGGATGCGGAAAGAACAGTAGTACCACCAGTTCGGGTGTAGCAGTGAGGAAGTGGAAATCCACGGATTGGATTTCGGAATTTCCCATACGGATTAGACCTGGTTAAGCCAGTGATAAGATTGTAGAAGTGCCACTATAGAGATGAGAGCAAGGAAGCAGTGTACTGTTTAAGGTCATTTATGACA